ATATATATACACATTCAATTGTTCCCAACATTATATGCAATGCATTACACAACTTTTTTGTTTGCGGTACAGCAGGTTTGTTTTGATCTCTCTCTGTGCACAAAACCCTCATCCCACACCCTCCTGAGTTTGACAAACACACACACGGAAAGTGAAACATCGTCACTTTGAAATTGAAACAGTTTGACTGTGACCCCTTATGTAAAAGGTTACTGTGAACCCCTACTTTTTAAAAATAACCTTAATGTATTTTTTCAGCAAATTAAATTGATATTTATATTACTGCTGGGCGGTATACCGGTTCATACCGAATACCGGTGTTTATTTTTGTTATGATATTAATTTTTAAAATACCGCAATACCGGTGTATGTCACTTAAACAACGTTCGAAATGCAACACTGTTTGAAAGGTGTCTCTTTTCACTGTTGAACTGTGGTGAGGGAACAGCTGTATGTGTTACTAAGCGTGAAAGTTCCCAAACTGAAGCTGTAGAACTAATAGAACGTGATCTCATCCACAATATCCACATTGACCTCCACAAATATCCACCGCCCCTGCCATCAGCTCCCGCGTCTCACACACGAGTGCGACTTTAGCACTAGATTTAGCAACTTTCAGACCCTTTTAGCGTTTTTTTTCCCATAGAATATTCATACTGACAAACCTAGCAACTTTTTTGGATAAACCTTAGCTATGGTTCAGTTGGAAGATTTCGTCAGTGCTGTCCCGCGAGCGTGAGGTCTGACTTTCCCGGAGAAGTGTCGCCTCTCTCGGCGTCTGTTCTGTGCAGTGAGCGGCAGAGAAGCAGCGCATTCAGTTAGCCGCACCGCAGCCGACTCGTCAATAAATGAGTACAAAACAGCGTTTCCTAGCACCTGTCGCTTACTGATTGTTTGGAATTATAAATATGAGCGTAGTTCATATCACATGCATGTTTTTTTTTTTTAGTTTGTTACTCGGACGCAGGCAGTGCGCTGCATGAGACAAAAAAGTAATATAGCCAAAACAACTGCATAGCCTCTCTTTAGTGTAGATGCATGTTGATTTTATCAGATGATGCCGCGATTATAAATGAGAGTGACTCCTGGTTAACATGTATTAAAAGGGGTCGTGTTTAGTCACTATTTAGTGTGGTATTTTTTGACAATATTCACTCATCATGACAGTAAAATAGGGCATTCTAAGTCAACATACTGCAGTATTTCCTCTCAATCAGTAGAAAATATGGTTAACACCCGGTCATGCATGGAAAAAAAAATACACCGTCATGTACCGTGAAACCGGTCTAATTTTGAAAAATACCGTGATATAAATCTTTGGTCATACCGCCCAGCACTAATTTATATTGTTACAGAAGATTTCTATTTCAAATAAATAAAATTCTTTTGAACTTTCTATTCAATTAATCCTGAAAATTGTATCAGTTTCCACAAAAAGTATTAGGCAGCACAACTGTGTAATAATAATAATCAGCATATTAGAATGATTTCTGAAGACTGGAGTAATGATGCTGAAAATTCAGCTTTGCATCACAGGAATAAATTACATTTTAAATGATATAATAGAAAACGGTTATTTTAAATTGTAATAATATTTCACTAATATTTTCGTCTGTTCACAAAACACAAAATGTAGCTTCTCTGTTATCCTACTATTTGTTTATTTATGTTTTTGCAGAGTGATTATTATAGTACATTTTTGGAAAGGGAATTTTGGCCCTCAGCTTTCATCCATTATAAAGCCAACCCATGTTTCCAAAATGAGTATCATACTCTGTAAACATCATCATGTACGGTACAGTGGGACGTTGAGTTTCTGAACAACAGGAAGTGCCCCTCACTCCCCCCTCGAAGACAGCTGCGACGTGGCCTGAAGAAAACATGCAAGCTTTAGAGACGGTGACCTGAAAACTATTTGGACACTGAACTGCTGTTATTTTGTATTATTATTCATTCTGTATATGTTTTTATTATTATTAAAGTAATTCATATTTAGTTTTTTTTTATTATTATTCTAAAGTAACACTAGCAAGAAATGGATTCTGGGTAGTGCGCACTGAAACATAAAAATGAAAGGTATCAGTCATTAAAAAACACAAGTTGGACAGTCTCTAGTAGGAACTGTGGTGTTTTGGGTTTTGTAAGGGAAATAATAAACTGAAGACTTCCTTTCACATAAGTCTCTGGCTCAGTCACATACACGCTTAATCTGCCAAACAGCTGGAGGAGACCCACTCAACCAGAGCTGAAATGTCAGCAGAGAGAGAATGAGGGAGCGATTACAAACCCGGGCATCACAAACATGTTTCCATGCAAGCCTCTGGAAACACACACACACACTGATATGGTTATTAATGTCATGGTATTTTTATTTTCTCTGTCTTTCAGGTATAGGCTGGAGTCTGAGCATCTCCATGGTGTTTTGATACAGAACAGTATGTGACATCAGCGGCCTTTACGTCTTCTGCTCGTGCGGATTGGGCATGAGTGAGGAGCCCCGCCCTCATTTGCCCAGCTGACCAATCAGAATGTTTGAGGTGAAGCCCATGAGCGTGGAGAAGGAGGACACAGCTGCGGGAACAGGTGTGTGTGTGTGTGTGTGTGTGTGTGTACTGGTTTATATATCCTGGTGGGGACTTAACCCTTTAACTGTCACTTTTTTGAACATAGATGTGAAAGTGCACGATCCAAACTTAAATTTTTATAATTCATGAACGAAAACATTTTGTAACATGATATTGATGTACCATTTTCATGGTAATGCAATGTTTGATTTTAAAATGGGTTTCAAAGGATGAATTTTGAGATTTAAAGTTTTCAATTGATATATAATTTCTGATTATTTCTAAAGTGTGATAGAGAAAAAGGCAACAAAGTCTTAGGCGTCCCACAGAGGGGACGGGTGACAGTTAAAGGGTTAAACCTGACTACACACAGACTCATGGGCACTCGTGTCACGGTGGGGACCTAATTTGTGGTCCCCACGGGTACAAAAGCTTATAAATCACACAGAATGAAGTTTTTTGAA